CCCCAGGAGCTCAGCAGGGCACACAGGACACATGCAGCGCGGACTGCTGCCCAGCAGAGTGCTGGGAACGGGGCGGCAGTCCCTTGACAGACTTAGCGTGGCTCCTCGTCCTTCCTTGGCCGATGGTGCTGACAGCGCTCTGGTCTCCCAGGGCAACAGGGCAGGAGGGGCAACTGGGAGGGGCGGGGCAAGAGAGAAGGAGAGGGGAGACATCCCACAGGGCTAAAGAGCTGATGAAGCCGGGAGCAGCAGCAGGGCCAGCCTGGCGAGGGCCCTCCCGCCTGGTGAGTTCCATCAGTGTCCCTCGTCCCTCCGTTCCAGGCAACTCCAGGTGAAGGACACCAGCCCTGCCCCTCTCCGTGCTCACTGTGCACTCTGCTCAGAAGGCCCCCAACCCCATCCCCAGTTTCTCCACCCTCCGGCCCTCGGGAAGCCCTGCCCAGCCTGGCACCCCGCCCCTCGCCTCCCAGCCAGCTGGCCAGTCCCTCTTTTCTCTCAGCCGTGAAAAGTCGCGTCTGTGCCGGCGTCATCCGTTTTCTCCCTAGGCTGTTGGAGACCTCGCCAGGCTGGCCCAGTGGCCACAGGCCCAGCACAGCACCTGAGGCTGCTGACATTCAGTGCCCATCGGCTTGCCAGGGGCAGGGACGGCACGGAGGGAGGGGCGCGTAGCCAGAAGACAAGGTGCCCTGCGGGCAGGCGACGCCAAGAACAGCACTTGCTTCCCCCCGGATCTCGCCTCGGCATGCCAGTGGACGCGCCCAAACCAGACCCCTGCCCGTGTGGGGACTGTGCCAGCACAGAGGGGCCGGTGCAAGGGGGGTATGGGGGGTGGGGTGGGGGTAGCCCCAGCAGGCAGGAGCAGGGCCCCAGGGCTGATAGCCATGTGGAGAAGGTGCCAAATTCCAGAGACCTGGAAGGCCACGCCCCACCTCCAGCAGCTGGGGGCCCCACTGAGGCTGGCCCCCTTTCCCCAAGGCAGGGAGGGGCCGGGCCCAGGGGAGCTGCTGGGACAGACCACCTGAGAGCCAGGCTACCGGAAGAGCACTGGGGGGAGGAGGAGGGCAGCAGCTGGTGGGCTGGCGACCGTCCGCGGGTTGAGAGGGATCCTCAGGCCGGACAGGGCTGAGGGGGGCAACGAAACATGGGCCGTGACAGCCTGGGCACATCATGCCCACTGATCAGACACAAGGAGCAGCCCCAGCCAGGACCCTGGCCCACAAGGGTGCTCCCCTGACTCCCTGGGTACACGCTCCAGCCATCCAGAGAGCATCGCCCCTCCCTCCCCAGGCTTCAGCTTCTTGGTGTGGTTTGGGCACCCCCAGCTCCACAGAGGTCGCAGCTCCCGGAGAGGCCCCGAGCCTGGCCAGGTAAACACGACTCGCAGGCCAGCTCTCGTGGTGATGAATTAGCGCAGCACAGCAAACGTAAAACGAGCCTGCAGCGCGCCTGCCGCGAGCGAGGCCCGGGCCTGCGCTGGCCTCAGCACCTAACCGAGCACTTGCTTCTCCCTGTGAAAGGAGGCAGGACGCCAGACCCCGCCGCTCTCACACGCCTCACAGCATTTGCCGAAGCCAAGCTGAACCCACGGCACGGGACCACAGACCCCTCGGTGACGCGCTGGCAGCCGGAGAGCAGCAGGAGCGCCAGCCACGCACTGGCCCCGGAGACAGCCACAGAAGCAGGCGCGTCAATGCCAGCACCAGGCTCCTGCCGGGACACTCGCAGGCGGAGGGCAGGGCCCAGGGCTGCTTCTCAGCACCCGTGCGACAGAACAGGGCAGCGTGGCAGAAGCGGCACACCTCCTCTGTCCTCCTGCGGGCCCTCTGCAGCTGTGGCAGAACCGCGACACGTCCCTGCCCACCACACGGACGGGGAGAGCCGTCCCTGGGCTCACTGCAGGCCTCCCACTCCCCACAGGCTGGGACTGACGGCCTCGGCTGACGGGAGGAGAGCCGCCGGCGGCAGCCTGGAGTTCGGGCACGCACTCCGTGCCAGGCAGCCGGCTCAGCTCAGGGTCCGCCCAGCGGCCTGGCTGGACCCCAAAGCACCCATGGCAGTACTGATGCTGAGAAAGCGCCTCCTTCCTGGGGGCACCCAGGAAAAGGCTCCTTTGGCCCACTGACCCTCCCGCAGCCCTGAGGCAGGCACAGGCCCAGCGCAGGCTGCCAGCGCCAAGCAGTGGGTTCCTGAGCTGCCTGCGGAAGCCACACTGCAGGGCTGCTGCCAGACCCACCCCTGCCCCGCCCACTCGGTGCACCTGGTCAGGGGGGCGGGGCCCTGTCAGAGAAGGTAGGCACTGGCCCTTCCTGTCAACTGCAGCCCCAAAAACCTCTGCCGCCCAGCTGGCCACTCTTCTGTGCAGTCTGGGACTTCCCAGGCAGGGCCCCTGGCTCAGGACAGGCAGGGGAAGGACAAGGGCAGGCTATGGCCACACGTCCTCTGTGGTCAGGTGAGGAGGGCCCCTCCCATCCCAGTGACTTCTGGGAGATGACAACATCCCCCACCCACCTGCCCACCCACCTGCGGCTTTTCCTTGGTACCTGGCAGCAAACACTTCCCAGTGGCTGTAAGAATGCCGTGACCTGTTGTCACCATGAAGCCCCACGGCCTGGGGCCCAGCGTGGCGGGTGGGCTGCCAGCCCTGCGTGTGTGTGGGCCGGGAAGCACCCTCTGCATACAGGGAGCCGTGCTCAGTGGCACGCATCAAGTGCATCGCTTCAGGGCGGCCTGAGTCACGGCACAGAGGCCCCATGTGGCCGGAGGGGGACAGGCCCTGGAGCCAGCCCTGCACGGAGTGAGAGCCCAGTACTGCCAGCAGCGCTCGCTGAGCACCACCTGGCACGGCTCCACGGTGGTGAACCGGACCCATCGGAGGCCTGTGGAAGGTTACTCGCCCTCTGCCGCCGCCGCCGCCACCACCAGTCTGCAGAGACCGATCACGCGGCGGGTGCGGGGCGTCTGTGCAGTACAACACAGGAGGCCCGCAGGCAGCAAACACGCCCCAGGCCCTTTCTCAGGCATCCTCTGGCAACCCCCCAGGAGAACCAGGAAGGGACGGAGGCAGAGGATGGCACGTGGTGACTCCAGGGCCCCCGCCCCGTGTCCCAGCCAAAGTCTGACTCTAAACCCAGAGAACAGGGCAGGCGGGGCTCAGAGGGCAGCGGAGTGGGGAGGGGAGGGTAGGGGAGGGGACTGGCAGAGAAGGGGAAGCGAGGAGTCAGGCTGGAAGCTTCACAGCTCAGTCCCCA